CCTTTTGGATGATAAATTATATAAAAACTGTCCGAATGTTCTTTTTATGCGAGCGCTTTCGGCTATACATTTAGCCATTTTCAAGGATTATATTTTAACTGTTAAAATAAGAATAAGTTTGTTGTATGTATGTTTTATAAAATGTTTTCATATTTCAAAACATGGTCAACATAATGTGTCCATGTTCATAGTTAATATTATTAAGTGTTGTTTTTTTTTGTTTTTACTAATAAGGCTTCCATTATTTTTATGTATATATGTAGATAGATAGATTTGTGTGTCATTTTATTGATATCAGTCTATTCATCTCTATCACTATCTCTTTTCTCATATCTATGTATCTATCTACCTATCCGTTTATCTATTTGAATATGTTCATATCTATCTATCTATCTATCTCAATATGTTCATATCTTTTTCTGTTCATATGTATCACATTTTTTCCGAATATGCTAGTTTTTATTTTCTTCCCTTTCTTAAAAAATCTTTATTATTTAGTGATTTAACTATCAACAAAAACTCCTTTAAATTTGCACCCAATATACAGACGCACTGTCCGCACACACACACACACGCACACTCACAAATGCGCTCACTCTCGCTCTTTCGATTTGTTTTGTCTGACACTCTTCTTTTGATGACTCTTGTTTGGATTATTTACGCCTTTTTCTTTTTTATTTTTCTCCTCTAACTTCGCCACCCCGTCCAGCCCCCAATAATTGTAATTGATTTTTTTCTTTTGTTTTTTTTTTTTTTGCGCGCGCGCATGCGCGTGTGTTTAATGAAGAGCACCATTTTTTTTTTTTTTCCGCCAGTTGATACAATTTATAGCGGAGCAATTCTCACGAATTATTACATTTTAAATAAATCGATAGTCGCAAAACTTGCAAGATTGAAAATGACAAATCACGAATGGTGGAGACGATGTTGAGATGTGAACACTGATAGGTTCACGCGTATATGGCTGTGTGTGTGTGTGTGTGTGTGTGTGTGTGTGTGTGTGCGCGCGCGCACGTATGTGTGCGTGTGTGTGTGTGTGTACGTTTATATATGCATGTGGCGCCTACATAAGTTTATGTCTTATTATATATGTGAGGTTCGATATAATGATATCTGTGTGCATATATGAATTAGCATCTGCGTTTAAATTTATACGACTGTGAATATGTGTGTTACTAAACAGTCTTTGAGTGGATGTCTGGGTGTGAGCATATGTGAGTGTGTATGCATATGTGCATACTTATCTATGCTTGTGTGTCTATGCTTCTCCGTATTCGTGTGTGTGCTTATATGTCTGTATTCAAGTCTATTTGCGTAAGAGTGTACTTTATGTGGATATGGGTATACGTGTGTTTGTGTGTTTTGCGATTGTGCACACATATGTCCGTGGGTTGCTCCGAAAGCAATGCCTCCTGTTGTATTATCTAGCTCTACGACGTCAGAGGCGGATGTCGGCTGTGTAGCACCAGAGGTTGAACATTTCCGAAAATAAAACACATTCACACGCACACACACACACACACACACACACACACACGCACGCGCGCGCACATATTTTCCTTTTAGTATTCTTACTGGTAGCAGCTGAAAGGCAGACTGGGAAAATAGCGTCTGACAGGAAAGTGTCGAAGAAGTAGAGGTGGATCACTGAATTCCTCCATGCTGAAAATGAAAACTACTGATATTTATCAGCGCTTATTAAACACTTAGGGAAACCCAACAATGGATGTGATCACAGTTAGGCGCTGAGAAATGCGTTTCAGCAGTGACAACAATAATACATATGACTAGCGACACTCCTTGTGACGCTGCACAGTTGTGACTAAACACACAGCCGATGATGATGACTATGTGGAAAACTATTTTTGTCACTGAAAACAGCTTCAGCTTCATTCGTTTTTCCATTAACAAGTTCCACTCGGACAGATTCCTTGATTTTAATCATTTCACCCCAAGCAAGGAGATAATGCCCCTAAGACACCATAGATTACTGAGAGTGATAGGGAATGAGAGAACTTTAGTGAGGAGAAAGGACAATAAAAGAACAGAATTCAGGAAGGCAGAAGATGACAATTGATGTTGCATTTAAATTAGTGAATTTGCCGCGTGTACTTGGACTCAGTAAAAACAGAGCGAGCAATAAATAAGTAGTTATCTCCACATGGGCAGTGAACCAAGAACAGTCTACCCTCGTAGATTGAATAAAGGGTTCAGTTCGGAATTCCCTTTAGGTTACCCGGATCTACATAAACCTGATGAAGGCCGAAACGTTGTGATAACAAAAACAAAGATGAGGACAATAGTCCACATGTAAATAGCGTAAATAATTATAACTCCTCATCTTAAAAGTTCAGACAAAAATTAGTTGACACTAACTGTTAAAAAATGATGACCATATGAGGGTCGGCTGTAAAGTTCATAGGCTGACCAAGATAGAAATGTAATCGCTCGTTCATCCACAGTAAATTTGCGTCCAGCTTCTTAAAACATTTCAACATTC